CATCTGGAGAGAGACTTTGTAGCGGTGCCTGTTGCGATAGGACGAGGAAGGGTGGGTTTAGACAAATGAGGGGAAATTCAGGATGGATGTGGAGAAAAAAATTTACAGAGGTGGTAAAAACCTGATCTAGATAAAACACTGGCACAGGTTGCCCAGAGAGGTGGAGGATGCACCATCCCTGGAGACATTGAAGGCCAGGCTGGATGTGGTTCTGAGCAACCTGATCTAGTTGGAGATGTCCCTGATTATTGCAGGGGGGGTGGACTAGATGGCGTTTGAAGGTCCTTCCAACCCAAATTATTCTATGATTCTGTGACCTTGCCTCAAATAAACTGGACCCAATTGATTAGTACTCAGGGAGAGCCACAAAAGCCAGCAGTATTTACTGGGTGCACTTGGCAGAAGGTTTCTCATAAATGGAAAGCCCAAAGAGATTCCCTTTGTGTGCATGTATGTGGGGGTAACATCATTAAATATGATTTAATATGTTAGCAGGTAGAGACAGGTAGGCTTGGCTTCACTTAGATCTTTGGCAAAATTTCCCCTGAACAGAGGTCCCAGGTGCCTGAGTGAGCAGAGAGCTCTGGAGGTATGAATGTTTTTCCGAGAAATTCACCCTAGATCTATGCAGTTTGAGCCTCCAGTGCCCCATGCAGCTTTTTCAAATCTCAGCTGACACTTGGCTATTTAATCACTACTGGAAATAAATCACTGCACTCTGGTTTTTTGCTTATTTTTCTGGTAAATGGTTTCTGCCCAGCATGAGCTTGCTGCAGAGCCTGTTCACACCAGCCTTGGAAGGACAAAGCAGTTGAGAAATGATGAAAAGTCTACAAGGAAAGACCTCGCTTTGAGAAGAATAATAACATACTGTTACCTATGTGCAGCACAAGCCTTGTTTCATTTCTAGGAATGATATATAGGCACAGGTCCACAATTCCTCCCCAAGGACCCCTATTCCCATTAATATCAGTACAAGTTAGACACCAAAATACCTGCCTGGACTTGACCCCTGATTCCCACCAATTTAAACATTCCTCTGTTTGAGAGGGAATTAGGTACCTTAGCACTATAATAACCTCTTGAATTCGTTGGCTGTCCCAGGTATGAAACATTTTTTATATAATTTTTGGCTGATTTACCCCACAAAAGGCTCTGTATGGATAAGAGACTTTGGAGAAAGCCACTTTTCCAAAGTCTCATTTAAGCAGCAGACTTTCTTTCCCCAGCTACATCAGAATATCCATGATGAAAAGAGAGGCAGAAATTCCCCAATGTTTAACCAGGCTTTTCAGCAGGCATGGGGCAGGCAACAAGGACACCCACAAGGGTCTAGGGGAGCCATCTCAGAGGGCTGAAAGCTTTCCTCACCCTCCCCACCCCACCAAGACATGACAGATACTACTCTGGGAAGCTGTTAATGTCACTTTAGAAAATGTACTGCCAAAGCAATAACCAAACTGTGAACCCAGCTGGGAAGAATGTCCCTCAGGGTGCTACCAGATGGATTAGTGTTTCAGAACAGGCTAGGTAAAAAAACAAAAAAAAAAAAAGAAGAAAATGCCTGGTTGCCATAGGTGCCCCCCAAAAGCAATGCTGGTCCCTCCACAGCCCTCTCTGGAGTCATGGGCAAAACTGCTGACTCCTGTCAGTGCCCTATTTTCTTCCTTTCTGGCCTTGCAAGTCTTTCAGCTCCCCTGGGGAAATCTGCAATGTTTGAGCCACAGCTGGGCAGAGATTTTCTCTCTGCTCCCCTTAATGTTGCCTACCTTGGAAGGTGCCATAGGGGTCACCCCAGGGGCCTGGGGACACTGCCAGGGGACTGGGACAGAGAGAAGCGAGGCACAGATCCTTTGCAAACTGTTTTGCTTCCACCAGGAGGCGGAGGGTGGGAGCTGTTGTTCTGGGTTTACTTTTCATGGAGAGAGGAATGGACTTTGCTCTCCAGAGGCTGCTTTTTGAAGCTTGCATGTGAAGGCAGCACCTTCCCAGCTAAAAAGCCGGAAGCATTTTGCATTTTTTTTGAGTTACCTGCTTGCGAAATTTTCCCCTTGTTTCTTTTACGAGGCTGTTTTTATATAAACAGTAAGAAGCCCCGTGTACAGCACCTTACCCTGCTCTCCATGGTTTATGAACAGCCTGGGCATAATTAGGGTGCACAAAACACACTATGTACTCGCACCCCAGGCATCATCGTTCAGGCTGGGCTGCCATTGAATAAGGCAAGTCATGAGTTCAGAAAGTGACAAATGATCCCCTGGCCCAGGCTGTCCCTCCAGCCCCAGGCTGTGCTCCAGGGCCTGCAACAGGAAGGCCTATCTTGGGGGCCTGGCTTTTTCTACAGCACCTTCCTCCAGCATCCCTACTTTCTCATCCTATTGTTAGAGGGTGCACCTCTGTGCGTTTGCATCCTTGAATTGGCCTAATCTCTTTCTGAACATGCAGATACAGCATCCGTAACCCCTGTGGCACAATGTCCACCACCCATACCTGCATGGTTTTTAGTGTCTGCTGAACACTGACCTCCTTTAGCTTTGCATACCCCCAGACCGGTGAGTGTTTGGTTGCCACCCTGAGTCAAAGGGTAAGAGAGCCACCAATGATGTCTCAGCACATCACAGTGAGTCTATGGATGTGACTGGCTGGCTGTGCCCGGGAGCACAGCTGGGTACCACAGCCACCTGTGTCGCTGGGCTATGCTGCTCCTCTGGATTTCCTGGGTCAGTGACACCTGGTCCTGGTCACTTATTAACAGCCACTTTATCTATTTGACCTTATATTACCTGTTACCTACTTACTGCACTTACTTTCCTTTACTCCTGCTACCTCTTTGCTCCATGTTAACTTTTTACTTCAGATTTCTCTGGCTCCTCCAGCTGACCTGCTGCAATGTCACAGACCTGGGAAGGTCCCCAACAGCTTCAGCTGCAAAAACAGCCACAGACAAATCACTGAGCTTTTCTGCTACATCTTCATCATCCCCATCTGCTCTTTTTATACCCTGGTCATCAGCATTCCCACCAATTTCCTAAGCTGCCTTTGTGGCTTTGATATATTTAAAGAGCCTTTTATCAGCAGTTAGAGCATCATTTTCAAGGCAATTTACTGCTTATTTTTAGTTCTATTTATTTCCTGTTGCACTGTGACCTGACATGTTTTACAGGTTTCCCTGTTCTTTGACCACTTTAGGGTTTTAGGGTTGGGTTTAGGTGTTTTTTTTTCTGATTTCTGCAAAAATCAGTATTTTCAGCTCCCACTCCAAAACCTGAGAGAAATCAATTTAATACTCCTGGGAACCCTCAAGAAGCAAAAGCTGCTTCATCTGCAAACACCAGACACAAGGCTTCAAAACAGAGAGCATTACTGGGCTAAAAAAAAAAAGGGCGAAGGCTGGGAAATTGAGAAAAAATAGCATTGACTAATTAAAAAAATTGCTGACTTTGCAGTTGTCAAACTTGGCGAGTGTCAGTCCTCCTCTACAGGTTAGCAGATGAAAGAGGCAGTGCTAGGTGTGCCTTGCTGGCCTTTCTGTGCTTGTTGGCCCTGGGCTAACAGACCCTGAATTTCAAGCAGGATCCTCTGTCTCTGGGTTGTGCCAGAGACCAGTCACCCTCCTGAAGCCGAGGTGGTCCCCCCAAAACCAGCTAAGGACAGTGATGTTCACTGGGGCATCTGCGTGAGTCCCTTCAGCCCTCACCTGAGATTCCCTAAAAGCTCTCTGTACCCATGGTTTCTGTTGGGGAAGCCATTCCTAGAGAGCAGGGGAGCGCTTCTTGCTAGAGGGGTTTCTTTTCCCTTACCCATGTTCCTTGATTGGAAGGAGTGCTCTCATTCACCTTTAAAACAGTATCTTACCGTCATTGCTCTTACTTGTTTATGCCTCCAGCCTGGCATGTCACATGCAGGATCTACGTATAAACAGTCTCATAAAGGAAACAAGGTGTGGTTTTCACCAGCAGGTCATCAGAAAAATGCAAAATGCTTCCTGCTTTCAGGCCTGAAAGGTGCTGCCTTTCACATGCAAGTTTGGATGCTGGGCTTTGTTGAGGGGTGTGTGGTTGCAGAGTTTTACATCTTATTTTTGAGCTGGTTTCAGGCATAAGCAGTGCACATGGTACAAGAGCCGGCAGGTCTGATTAAGCCCATCTTTACCCCACCATCCTGCCATGCTACTGTGGCACAGCTCCTCTGAGACAGCTGCCCAGGCCCAAGCTCTTATCCCACCACTATCTACAGCACCATACCTCTCCACTGCCACCCCACATCACTTGAGTATGCTCGGGTGTATCCAGTGGCATGAGACTTAAGTAATCCCAATGTATCCATACAAGTATGTGCTATAACTATGCAAGCTCTGTCCCAGCTCTGTTAATGCTATTTAGTACATATCCATGCATATGTGCAAAGCAATTACACTCTCCAGTGTAGTTTTTGGACTGGGATAAAAGCAAGTGGCAGACTAGAGCGGCACCATCTTCCACCATCCTCTGTGGGTCACAGGCCAGCAGGACATCCTGTGTCTCTGGGGAAAAGACGGATGAGAGATCCCAGGACATGAAACGAGTTTTGGCAGTTCTCTGAAGCCTCTTGCCCTGGATGTGGGCATCTCGTCTCTCACACTGACAGATGAGGATAGCATTCAGCTCCCCTTTCTCTGGATTTTGAAGGATGGGCAGCTGAAACAAAGCATGAGCCAAATGGCGGCAGTCATAAAACACCACAAAGACTTATTTTCCATGATCACATTTCCCGACAGAATTACACATTGCTAATAGCCAAACGAAAGAGAAACATCTGAAAGTTTGCCTTTTCAGCACAGAATTCCAGTCCAGATAAAATAACTGTAGCTGCCTTTGAAATGCCAGAGTAGTATGGTTACCTCAGGATCTGATAGCCCCTCCCCACCACAGGCTAAATGAGACCCGATTGCAGTTGCAGAAGTTAGCTTTGAGCTAGTGCAATGAAAATTCCTACGCAGTTAAATGACAAAAGCACCTGACTCTTTTTGCTCCTTTTATTACCAGTGACAGCAGATAATCTAGGTATCACATCCTCAATAAAGTTTTGCTGCATTAAAGTGTCATTTACTGTTGAGCTTTCAGCTGCACTTCCAACCGCTATTGGTTTGCAGAAGAATAAGAGATAACACTTAATAGTCTTTCCATGGGCCCCTGCAGCAGGCTACTGTTACATGTATTTTAGGGATCCTCTGCACTAAGCTGATAGAACCTGGCAATTAACTTCAATGAAAGACCATGATGTACGGGCTTTTTCTTGATAAAGAAAAAATCTATTAGAATCCATGTAACCTTGAGTTTCAGTCTGCTGTATTAAGTAGGGGAGGAGCAGGTATCTAAGCAATAGCAGCTGGCTGAAGCCAGTAAATCTACACTGAGCTTTGTGACTCTTTTTTTGCCATTTGTTCTGCCTGTATCCCACCTATTTTTCAACTGGAAGAAAGAAACAGTGAAAACACAGGAAAAAAAACAGAACTAAAGTTACACCTTTTCTCATCAGGCTACTTCTGAACTACTGCCCATTGCAGGCAGTTCAGAGAGAGCCAGGTCTATCTTCCTTTGCTAGAGAAGCCACATGAGAAAGATCAGGACTGGTTAGTTCTCAATTTTCAACTGCATAGCTGGTGGATGGGAGCCGGTTTTGATCACCGAGAACACTGGAACAACCCATCTGCATGCACATCCTAGTAACTTCTTCAGCTGCACACAGTGTTTTCTACCACTGGCCCCAGATTTGTCATTTAAGCTGAAAGACACTTCCTTTTTAGCTGTGTGACATTAACAGACCCATACACACAAAGCTGCCATCACGGAGAGCAGCTTGGCCAGCATTTTCAAAGCTGACCAAGTTGCACTAACTACCCAGTTCGAATCAAAAAATAATTACAGAAAAATGGTGCCAGCCTTAAAACACTAAACACCTTAACTTCGTTAATATCTAACACTATTTCTGGTCAGAACCTCTGACTGAAAGCTGGGTGCTGATGAAACCAGTCTGTGCACACTTGCATCTAAACGCTGCACAAGTTGTAACATAAAACAGTCTCTGGAATTGTAAAATACCCCACTTACACCACTGGGAAGCAATATAAAAAAAGCCTTGGTACTGTGAAACAATAATGTTTAATAGGAAAAATTTTAATAGGAAAAGTTAAAAACCAAAACACAAAATATAACATGGAATTAAGTGATGATGTAAATGGGTTTAACCTTTAAATATATGTAGATATTTGTGCATATATATATTATAAATATATTCACAGAAATGTTAATGCTAGTCAATGGATAATTCATACTCAGTAAAGTATGATAAAATGTGGATTCTTTTACGGATTTATTGAGAGTGTCTGAGTAATAAAAAAAAAAAAAAAGAAAAAAAGCCCCTCAAACAAAATCATTCAATGAAAACACAAAGAGTATAAGAGAAAAAAATGCTAACACTTTCCACAGGAACTGAGAATGTAAAATCAATGTGGTTGTGCAAGATGAAGAACAATAGTGTTTGTTTGAAGATGTTGTTTCTTGTCATTGTATTGGGAAGGAAGGCTGTGTAAAAGATCAGACAAGTACCATTGTCTCTCACAACACATGTCAGCAGAGATCTGAACAGAATGCTTTCACATAGGAAATTTTAGGGGGGTTGAGGGGGGGGGGGGGAAAGACTGTATCTGATGTAGTATAAAGAAAAAGGTTAGGTTCTCATGAAGAACAGTTTTGATCTTCCCAAAGCCATGCAGGCTGCCTCTAGCTGAAATAGAGTGAGCACAAATGTAGGCAAAGATCAGGGCGATGACATTTGCACTATCACACATATTGCCTGGACCATCTTCCAGAAGAACTGAAAAACAGCAGGTTAAACCCCTGCTATCTTGTCTACACTCACTTTCTTGCCATTGTACTGGCCTGAAAGAATTCTGGTGTTCACTGGAGCCCCCTAACTCTTGTGAGAGTCATTGTTTTCCTCCTACCCTCTGCTTCATTTTCTCTTATTTCAGAGAGTTGTCCATGATCTCTTTCAAGCAGGGGTTTTCCTTTAGAAAATCTTCAGAGAAGCTGGGGCTGTAGATTTTGTTGTCTCTTGTGCTGAAGTATCTGCATTGGTGAGAGGCTGTGAAACGATTTGGTCTGACCCATTGCTGTGGTGGTCATCCATCTTTATACCGCTCTGGTCACTTAATATTTGCTCTGCATCCTAAAGCCGTCATGCTCCCGTGATATTTCATACTGAAAAGAATTTGGACAAGAAAAGAAAGAAATAAAGAGTAACTCTGGGTCAGAAAGCGCCTTTCTCAGAATAGTTCAGCATGTAGCACACTGCACGATAGCCCTCTCTCTGTGGCACACCAGTTCTCAAGGACTACCAAACAGGCAGATTTTTGTCAGTGAAAAGTTGACATCTTTGGAAAGTTAGAAATGCTAAAATCTATGTGAATCTGACCAACCAACTAACTAAATAGATGTTTTTCTTCTCTTAATTGGCAGCTTTTTAAAAGGTGGGGTTTTTTTTTAAACATCAGGTTTCACTTGGAGTACTGTGTACAGTTCTGGTGTCCTCAACATAAAAAGGACATGGAACTGTTGGAACAAGTCCAGAGGAGGGCCACAAGGATGATCAGGGGACTGGAGCAACTCCCATAGGAAGACAGGCTGAGCAAGTTGGGGCTGTTCAGCCTGGAGAAGAGAAGGCTGCATGGAGACCTCATAGCAGCCTTCCGGTATCTGAAGGGGGGCTATGGGGATGCTGGGGAGGGACTCTTCATTAGGGACTGTAGTGACAGGACAAGGGGTAATGGGCTCAAACTTAAACAGGGGAAGTTTAAATTGGCTATAAGGAAGAAGTTCTTTCCTGTTAGGATGGTGAGGCACTGGAATGGGTTGCCCAAGGAAGTTGTGGATGCTCCATCCCTGGCGATGTTCAAGGCCAGGTTGGACAGAGCCTTGGGTGATATGGTTTAGTGTGAGGTGTCCCTGCCCATGGCAGGGGTGTTGGAACTTGAAGATCTTAAGGTCCTTTCCCACCCTAACTATTCTATGATTCTATGATGGTTTAGGCCTCAATTCCACAAACTGAATTTAAAACAATTTAAAACAATTAAACAGTTTTTCTTCTCTAAACAGTAGATTTTTGCACCATAGAGGTGGAGTTAAAATGTCATTTCAAATGGGACAATGTTTTTCCCATTTACTCGACACATGTAGAATCCAGCAAATTAATCATATCACAGCATAGCACTTCTCAAGACCTTGCTCCCTCAGCAGCAACCTTGCAGAGTTCAAAGATAAAACAGGCAGTTTTTTTTCAGAACACACGGTCCAACTAATGACATGCCTCTGCTGAACAGACTCCCCTGGGCTGTATCAGTGCCAACAGCTGTGCTAGCTTTTTCATGGCACTTCACCCCTTTGCAACGCTGCAGCAACTGTAGAGGTTCTTGCTGTGAAATAGGCAGTGGCAGAGTGGGTGGGAGAACAGCCACCCTCTGGACAGCTCTGCCAACTTAAGCTGACTCTAAATCTTGCATGAGGTTGCAACCAGGAAGTGCCACTGCAGCACCTATTGACACTACAACTGGCTTAAAAGAAGCACAGGTTGAAACAGCCTGTGATGCTTGCATGTGCACCTGTGCTGAAGAATGTGTTCAGTCAACACAGACAGATGTCCTAGAACACAGCAGACCACTTGGTAGCCAAACTGTTGCTTTAACCCTTGCTTTTCACGTATTCCTTCTGAGACTCGAGGATGACTACTGGGGCTCTAGAAAGGGCTTCATAAGATGGGTGCAGATCTCTGTATTAAGGGATTTTTTTTCAGCTTCAACTGCGTCCTTCATACCACTTCTAGATCAAGGGAGGATGGACAGAGTGGGGTTTAGGTTCCAAACATGTCTGTAGCCCACAGTGTTACAGTTCAGGAACACAATTCCTGTAGGCCTCTGTGAAACACTTACCAAATCATCATATTGACCTCTGTTTGTTGAACGCATCTCATACGGGTTGTTTGGCTGATACCCTGGGTTCACATGGCCAGAAGTGGTCTGGACTCGAGGGAACATCCTGGTCTGTCCATCAGCAGAGGTATTTGAGTTGGAATATCCTGACTTTATCAGTCTTTTCTGTTCTGGATCTTGCCTGTGCTTGTTTCTTCAGAGGAAACAAAAGAACAAGGGAGGTTTTAAGTCCCTTTAGTATGCCTCACTTATTGAGTAAGTCTAACTTCTTGAATTGTCCACTCCCACCTTAATTTGAATGTTCAGTCCTATTCTGAAACCTGAAACAGATTTTTCTAGCATACCTATTGCAAAACCCTTGTTTTCAATGGTAGAGTACAAAGTTTGGCATCTCTTATCACAGACGGGGCTAATCTACCAGGAGGGACAGAGGGGGACTTTGACCTCTTTCAACTGGTTCCTAGAGTGAAGAGGTTTCCTTCACCACCACTAGCTTTAATTGGCTATTCAGAGGAAGAAATGAGGCATTCCTTAGGCCCAGTTAAAAAAAAGTTGCCCTCATGCCTGCAGCCAATGCTGGAGACTCAAATGATGCATTTGAATTGTCTGTGATCACAAGTCCAGACATTCCACACACACTTGTGCACCTGCTGGCAAGCTGTACTGCTATGGGCAGTCTTGTAAGCACCTTTAGGTGGGCAGCACTGAGGAACTGCTTGAGGATTTCTGTATTTATGGTATGCAACATAGTATTTCTATATTTATTGTATGCAACATAGTATTTCTATATTTATTGTGTGGGGGGAAGTGAAGAAGTGCAACTGCAATTGGGAATTTGCCAGCACACCAGGAATAGCAAGCTTTAAAGAGATTCTTGACTGGAAATGTCACCTGTATTGAACTGAACAGGGCACGCCAGGCCTTGAGCTGCAGTGCTAGCAGGGAAAGCTGCAGAGGGTCTGAATTTGGGCCACACAGCTTTCTGATATCAACATCTTTCTTCAGTCTTATTTAGATACCATATCAGAACTGGCTAGGGCAGGATTAGGATTAATGTGTTAAGGTGTATATTTTGAAGACTTGGCTGAATCTTTTATAGTTGATTTCACAGCAAGAAAATAAATACTTCTGGGAAGATCACACAGGCAAAACCAAATTCTAATGGCTACATGACTTAAATGAACTTGTCTGTCCAACTAGGAATGCAACCACATTCGCAACCATGGCCCTCTCTAAATTTCTGCTTAGTTCTCTAGAAACATGCAGCAATGCAGCTTCTATTCAATTGTAAGAAATACTCTTACCTTGCTGAAACAATAGAGACTGCTATCAGCAAACTCAGGATTATGGCTCCAAGCACTGTACCCACTATTATAAGGATGAGTTCTGTACCTGGGAAGAGAAAAACAAACCACCAAACCAAACAAGAAACATCAACTGAAATCTCATGGTAAATATTGAAAATTAAGTCTTTGCCCTGTCATCTTATTACGAGGTGGAGTGGTAGAGGAAAGAAAGGGGAGAAGGGGGAGGAAAGGAGGAAAGGAGGGAGAGAGGAATGAAGAGAGGAAGTGAAGAGGGAGAGGGGAAGGACGGAAAGGAGAGAGGGAAGCAGGCAGGCAGGCAGGAAGTTTATTATTAGCGTTTCTAAAATTTGTGTTTAAATTCATAGTGTGTTGATTTTGTGCTGATTAGCTTTTTCATTTGCTTTATAAAAAAGGTCTTAAAAGTCCCCAAATTTCACTAGAAAAATATGTTCTATGTGACAAAAAAGTGTCTTTCCTTCCAAACATTTACACCTGGTAAGATTCACTGTGCTGCACGAAAACTACCATTCACCAATCTCCAACCTCTCAAGCAAAACCAGAAGAAAACCCTTGAAAATCTCATAGCCATGGAAACAGGTATGTTAAACATGGATAATTTAAGATTAGAACAGTGTGAGACTCCAAAGGGCCACATAGGTAGACCATCTGCTCAAATAAAGCCAAAGGAAGTGTGAGAAGTGAAGAATCATAATTATTTGGTTTTTAACCTTTCTTCAACTGTATTAGATGTTCTGAGTTTAGGCATATGCAAACAATAGAAGACATGAATAATGTCCTCACCTAAACTAGATGATGGTGGAAACTGGCAAAGTTGAAGCAATCACCTGCAAAACTGACTCAGAAAAGGGAGGAAGTTTTGGAAGGTCCATCTGATTAGCTTTTTCAGATGGCTACAGTTATGAGATAACACAGAGTCATCATCTCTTCACTGGTATAGAGTACTAGGTACTATGCAGTGCTTGCAAGGCAAAGAACAAGCCAGAACCAGTAGCTAGATATTAAAGCAGAAATATTTCAAATGAGAATAATCCACTGACTTTTTAGTAAAGATGGCAATTAACTACAGGACAAACAAATCTATTGGTGCTGAGTTCAGCATTGCATAACTTTAGATGAGGACTAAATGTTTTTCTGTTAAATAACCTGTGTTTGTTAGACTTAAAACTACTCGTCTTAATGCAGAGGTCTTAGAGGAAATGCTACTGTCTGCTTGAACATGAGTTTCAAGAGGATTTTTACTTCCAGGCAACAGTGGAATTTCATAGAATCATAGAATAGTTAGGGTTGGAAAGGACCTTAAGATCATCTAGTTCCAACCTCCCTGCTGTGGGCAGGGACTTATTCAATTTTACCACAAAAGAACAAGCAACAACAGTAAGTGGACTGTATAAGTTATTTGTAAGCATGACATTAAATCTTTTAAAATAGCATCTTTTGAATTATTTCACATAGCTATACAGGGTGGAAGAAAGTTAATACACCTTTTAAAACATTGTGTTAAAGACTTAATTTGCCAGCATTCAGCTCTTGAAATTTCCTGACCCCAAGAATAATGCCAAACTGTGGTATAAATATAGAAAGAGAAAAGACCTGGAAATGGGAGAAAATCTGTACTGATATTTGACTTGGATAGCTCTGATATTTATTGCAGTAAGTTCCCATCTTGGGTGTATAGATGGCCCTCTTCTTTCTAACATTTTCCTGCTATCAATACAGCATGGTGGCAACCCTAATAGGGGATAGTGGCACCTCTCATTGCAGGCACATCTCAGGCAGATTAAACACTACCAGGTTTTATTCCATGCTATAATTTAAAATCAGAAATTCTTGTACTTACTGTCCTTGCAGTCCTCCCCAGAGTAGCCCACTGGACAGCTACATGACAGCAAAAATTAAAAAGGGGAAAGAAAAGAAAGATAATATCATCAAGCAGATGATCTTTAAGGTCTTTTCTAACACAAACCATTCTATAATCACAAAATAGCGTAATTCCACATTTTATAAGCAACTTCTCCACAAGGTGTGTTCGTTACAGTTTCCTTTTTAATGCTATCTTTATATTGAATTCTTTAGTTTCATTGTTAGAGTAAAACAGACTGATATTTTCAGAATGATTGGTGAGCCGCATACTCAAAGTTTTGGGTTCTTAGCCTGAAAAATGTCAAGAGGGCCTAATTTTTCCAGAGAACTAACCACTACATCTCTGAGTCACTTGGAATTCCTACCCACTGTCTTTAACAAAAGTGTCAATACAAGGTTTATAAGGACTGGCAGGTCTTAACCTTCCTCCCTTACTAGTTTCTCATATTTAAAATACATTGACTTTACAGTAACAAGTGTTCAGTGTGTAGCAGCAATAACTACAGAAAGAGCTGAATTAATGGATATGGGGAGTAAGGTCCATCTGCTTATTCACAAGAGCAGAGCACAACCAGTCACTTATTCAGCTGCACCAGCAAACAATACTGCTCTGTTCTGATCCTGAGCTAACAGAAATTCCTGCAGAGAGAAAACCAAACCAAAATAACATAGGTCTGAAAGTTATCGGGAAAGAGAGTCCTCTCTGATATCAGTGGAAACTGCCCAGGGATTTGAAGTAAGTCTTGCTTAATGCCTGTTGCTTACTAAATGCTTCAGCATACCAGTTCCTATGGCTCAGTTACTCTGAAGGAGTACATCTTGGTTTCAGCTGGGATAGAGTTAATTTTCTTCCTAGTAGCTTCTGCGGTGCTATGTTTTGGCTTTAGCGTGAGAATAATGTTGATAACACACTGATGGTTTAGTTGTTGCTAAGCAGTGCTGACCCCAAGTCAAGGACTTTTCAGTCTCTCATGTTCTGCCACTGAGGAGTTGCACAAGAAGCCAGGAGGGAACACAGCCAGGACACCTGATCCAAATTAGCACAAGGGGTATTCCATACCACAGCACATCATGCTCAGTGTATAAACTGGGGGGCAGTTGGCTGGAGGCACCGATCATTGCTCACAGGCAGGCTGAGCATGGCCCAGTGGGTGGTGAGCAATTGTATCATGTATCACTGTATTTGGGGGGGTTTATTTCTTTTTCTTCTTGTTGTCTCCCTTTTCATTACATTTTTTAAACAATTTTCATTATTGAACATTTTCCAGCTGGGGTTAAACCATGACAGAATAATTCATGTTTATGTGGGCAACTCTCAAAATAAGCGTAAAGTAGCTTATCCTCTTCACTGGCTCACAGATGACCTTGAATCTCCTTGAATTTCTCCTCAGGTATTATGAGTGCACACCAACAGCTAATGCTGAGCAGTTAAAATGCCCTATCTTGTGACATCATGGGCATTTGTCCACCTGCTAAGGCACCTCTCTGACTCACATAGCTGCAGCCTGTTCTTCAAGATTGAGGGTGACCCCGTGTTAGATGTTCTTTTTGCATATCTTTGCCTAGAATACAGGAACACAAGAAAAAACTGGCTACTCACGGTACACAGTTATCATTCTTCTTTTTAAAGTTAGCCATGCATTTGCATGTTGGAACCGCTCCTACTCTTTCACAGTACTTGTTTTGTTCTGAAGAACAGCTTTCACTGCAGTCTGTATTTTCAGAGGGAAAAAATACCGAGTGAATTGAAGGTAGCCCCCAAAAAAATCAACATTGGAGAAATCTCCCCTTCCACCAATTTTTTTTTTTTTTAATTGTACTGTAAACACACACAACTTTATTGCATTTCAAAGCACCAAAATGGCTTTTTTAGGGCTATACCTGTGTAGAACAGAAACTGAAATACAAAAGCACAAAATTAGAAGCAAACAGTCTCTGTTTAAAACCATAGCTCCATCCACAGGCAGCAATGACTTGCAATTTGATGTCACAGCAGATGAGTTGTATTGCAATTGATCTAAAACTGGATGAGATTCAGACAGGTTAGGGTGCAAGGGCCTACAATGGGCCACGCTTACACTGGGTCACATCTCACTGGACTTTATTGTAGTCAGCTTTCGTGATTTAATCATGAGTGTTTGTAACATTTGTTGTTTTTCCTAAAATCTCATATCTCAGACTTTTTTTCTGTAGTGTGAAAATTTTAGTTTTCATGGGAAGAAAATAAGGTACATCTCACATCTGTAGAAATATAACCACAGTACTCATTAAAAGATTCAAAAAAGCAAGTAAATAAAATCCCAAAAACTAACAGTTCCTAAAAATCACATAAATCATTCTTCCCACAAAAACCCAGATAAACACAGATAATGCCATTTTATAACTACAAAAAAGGGACAGAGCTTTAAGAGATCATGTAGTCAATCGTGAGACTTCCAGCTCTGTCAGTCCCCACAGCTGCCTCCATGTAATGCCTAGAATTTATTCCCAAAATGTGTCCTGGCAGAGAAGGCTGTAAATATTGGATTCAATTTAAATAATTCAATTTAAGATCATAAAGTGGTCTGGGTTGAAAGGGACCTTAAAGATCATCTAGTACCAACCCCCCTCCCATGAGCTGGGACACTTTCCACTAAGACAAGGTTGCTCAAAGCTCCATTCAACTTCACCTTGAACACTGCCAGGGATGTGGCATTTTTCCATCCTTTACCTATTTAACTTTTGATTCCTACCAAGAGTTTAAGAATGCATTTAATGAGTTGCCTAGTCCCTGGTTTCGGTGATAGTTTTATCAGGCTTTAGTATTTTATTCTACTAGGACAGAATTATGGGTGTGTTTGAAGTGAAACATGAGAATGTGTTTCTATGGTTTTCTTTAAAAGACAAACATTCTCTGATTTTTAGAGGTTAGCACATTTGCAGAGCACCCTTTTCAAAAAGGGACTGAGGCAGGGAATAACAAGGTCAGCCTTCCAGGGATAGATAAAGTAGCCAGGTTCTTACCTGAACAAGAACGTTCATCCCATTCTGTCTTTGCAAAATCATCCTGGCATAAGCATTCTGGATACATAGCTTCTTTGCAGTATGTAGTTTGAGTATCACATTTAAAAGCAGCACAGTATGTTGCAACTTTAAAAGAGAAACAGTCAGGAAGCAAACCTGAGCACTATTAGTATGATTTCACAGAAAGGAGTGCACTTGCTCAGTAAATCATAAACCAATTATTTAGTAAGTTCAAAAAAAACCCCAACTGCAAGTCCTTTTTTTGGGAAGATCAGTATCACAGGTATTTGGACAAGTCTTTTCCCTAGCTCTTTACAAGTTAAGGTCCTGTTTCTATCACATCTTCTGACCTTGTTTGCCAGCATTCTACAACTGCCTCGAAACCTTCAGATCTCCCAGTCCACCACACAGGAAATTCTACCGATAGGTTCATATTCTGAACTCTGACTTTTTGACTTACCTTAAATCAACTGTAGAAAATACCCAGCACTTATCTTTCTATGACTAAACTGTGAGTCCATATCCCGTGCAGTTCTACGTAGATACAAGTATTTACAGGCATGCAGCTCATTTCATTATCCATATTATCACGCTGTTTGCCCAACATGTTGCTATTTAGGTCCATGTCCCAGTGGTGGGAATGGTTTACAAACCTCATTGGGTGGAATACAGTGGAGGGATGTGATTGTCCTGGTGCTTTTTTTTTTTTTTTTTCTGTTTCCCTCTTAGGTTTAGGATCAGCACATAGGAAATGTCATGATTGAAGTGGACACAGTCACCTTTAGAGACCAAACTCAGGCTATAAGCCAGGAAATGGACTCCTTTAATTATTAGCTGCGCCTTTTACAAAAGCTGATTTCAAAGTATGAGTATATTTAAAAAAAATAAAAAAAAAATCAGTATTTCATTTAGAAAATCATTCTCCAAGTATTACACTTTTAGTTATGTGAGACTTCACAGGTTTAGAGCTATGAATCACTTAGTTCCTAGACTAATGAGTGAGGCCTTGCTTCAATTACTACAGTTAATTATGGAAGAAGTAATCTAAAGAGAGTTTCATCCTATTTTGCCGGTAAAATACTGGCTTATTCTCAGAAGCACAATACATGTACATATTCAGTCCTGATTTTTCCAGCTGCTTAACATTCAGCAGGTTAAAATCAACATGCAACTTGGGAATGAGTATTTTTTTTTTTTCTTCATACAAGAAGTAGAAAGCGTTAACAAGGCAATAAAGCCCAGCACTGAATGGTTGAGCCTTCAAAATTACCTAAGATTGAACATTCAGCTCCTTAAAATCAACAAGGCTTATGCCCTGATGAGCTTTGATGAGCACACTGAAATGTTCTAACCAGCTTTGAAGACAGGAAACTCTGTTTCTGCCGATTATTTACTTCACAGTAAAGAATTACATACCTGTGTATGCAGAGACATAGTTCGATTCATTTATTTCAGCATATATTGCATTAGTAACTGTTACATTGGTTACATTTGAGTTGTCCTTAAACAGGTTTGTCACTGTTACACTCAGTCGAGAAGAAGCTCTGCTTTCTTTCTGAATCTGTCTGAAAAGTACAGATAACACCATTTTAAAGTCTTATATTATCTATATGGATAGCAAGCTACATGCAAACACAAGAGAAGACTTCTGCCAAACTTTCTTTTCTCCCCTAGCTTCCTTCATCCTAAAATGTAAGTAGAAGCTAGCTGGATTGGGTTCAGCTGGAGAGCACCAAATGCACAATGAGATGCAACGGCCTTCTATAATGAGGATATTTCTTCAATTAAATTGGGAATCCAAGTTGGGCCTGTTCACTTAACTATCACAATTGCAGAGCCATGTTAGATACCACAGGGAATGCTAGTTATAGCACAGTGCAATATGAAGTGTGCTAAAAGTGAAACATCTGCTGCTGAGCTGTTTCAGCCAGCACACTTCACAGATGTATTGGAAATCCATGGGGTAAAAATAGGGCCAGCATCCCAGGAACTTTAAAACTACAAAAAAAAACAGGGGGCATACTGAACTGAACTCATCCCATATTCTTTCTTGAACTAGGTACTCTGTGGAAAACATTAAAATAGGGTGTGTAGGAAGCTAAGTGTGCTAAAGTCAAACTCACTGAATTTCCACGATGACAGTCTCTGCAAAGCCATCTAAATCTTTGAAGGCATCCTTAAACTGTAAATAAGAGCAGTAAATGAATTGGAGTTACAGGCAAGCAGAAACATAGACCAAAATCACATAAACCACTTAGGCTTCAGCTGTAAAGTTTTAATCCAGAGCATGATACTATCATTACAAATAAAGCAAGTCGATCTGTAACATCCACTGTGCAAGGTATAGCAGAAAAGATGCAGTGGGGTGGTGATGCAGAACAGGAAATACGGGAGAGCAGTTGAAGGATGAAGAGACATGAGTTGGATGGATGTCAGGCAGTGCACTAGAGTTGACCGGCTGGATAGCTACAGATACTCCCTTGCAGAGCCATTACTTAGAAGGGTATCTCTGTGATACCAACCTAAGAATAAGTAAAGGGAAGAGGGAGAAGTAGACATCCTTACAGATGCCATGCGTCACTTAGATGTAGTGAAGTGGGATCATCAGGGGTTGATCTTGATCAGGGGAGAAGCACAGCACTGATGAAATCACTGGGGGTTGGATAGGGTCAGTAGAAAAGTCACTGTTCTACCTCATCCCTTGTGAAGCAGGGAACAACTGGTCCAACAACTTGTGTGGCAGCTGCCTCCAACTGCCGCACAAGCAGAAGGCACAGTGGGAAAATCCTAAGATATCTAAGCCAACTGAAAAATAAATTATCCTTCTTTTTAATAACATTAAAACTCTTTCCTATGCTACTTTCACTTTTGCATACTATTACATATCTATTCTAGTGCTGCAGATAAGGCACTTCTGTAGCCATGTCATGAAAAACTGTTGGACGAAAAGGCTGATGAAAATCTTCATTTAACATTCTGGAGGGACAATTTTTGATTGCTTCCTGATAAAACATTCATAGCAAGCAACAGAATATCATGAAGAATTTGATAATCATTTTTTTATGAATTGTGATTAATATTTGGTGAATATTTTTTGAGCAGCTGTCTGGTAGAGGCATACCTCTTCTTTCTTACTTCCAGAAATAAATATACTTGTTTCAATGTGGCAATATAAATTTATCCAGGAAATCCATTACCAGACTTTATCCATAATGATAAAATGCTCAAAATTTGTAATATCCATTTCACTAATAGTATTAAAATTCTAATACTGGTATGCTTATGGAAAAGGTTTATTATTTAAGTATTTAGACACAGCTGGACAGCCATTCTGAAAAGTCTGTGCTGTGTGGAAACAATTGTTGGGTTTTTTTTAGAAGAAGTTCATTTTTACTCATACCGCTGAGTATTACTGAGCCCTCAACAAACAGCTGAGATCAGAAACTAAATGCACAGCAAAGTTTTGCTCAGCCCCATGGTTTCTGGAGTGGGAATGGTGAAAAATACAGAGCAATTTATGTGAGAACTTCCCAGAATAAAAGTGGCACTTAAAATGCAGATCTTACTTATTTCAGGTACATATCTTCATTTCATCAAGAGTCATGCATGTACTAATCTGAGGGCAAAATTCAAGTATTTTATGAATAGCTCTAAACTAGTGTGAAGCATTCTTTGAAAGAAATATATTTCTCAGGTAAGAAATTCTAGGCTCCACACTACAGACAGCGTGTATCCCCTCTGTCTGCATGACATTCAGGGTGGATTACATACACAGAAAAAAAAATCCCCAAACATCGTTACTCACCCATATTGTTATATTTTTTAACACCTCTTCATATTCCAGAGAATTTACAGTTTGAACACTGCTACTGTAAGATCCTGTCAGTGTAATGACACCTGGGAATATTTTCCCTGGAATGAGAACAGAGAATATTAATTAGTTGCAAAGCATTCAAGCAAGTTGCGTTCACCTTAGAGTTCTCCAGTCTTCAGAGATTGGGAAATACAATGCAGAAATCAATCAGTGTTATTTTTCATACACTGCAGGATTTAGTAGCGACAAATGTTTGCTCAATCAATTCAGCCACAATGGGGGACGTACTCTCACTACCTGGGAAGCAGGGAGGATCCTGTACTCAGCTAGACTGGCCGGACTATGAATAATGTTAAACTGTAAGCATGACCTGGAGCTAACAAAAGGTGTTATAGCGTTTAGTTTGAAAATACCCATATTAAGAAAGCCAAATCTGCAGCCACTAAGCAGCTAATGTGGTTCACCATATCTGGGAAAGCAATTCAATGTCTAAGTGCTTCTTTAGGTTCACAAGTCACTCTGACAATCCTGCTTGCTGGCACTTAAATAAGAATTCCTATTTGTTCACACACATGGCCTTCAGCAGCATCTCAGAGCAGAGATGCATTTCAACAAAACTGTGATGAGTATTTAGCAATAGAGAAAATCAATTATTCAGAAGTCTTCATGGGTTTGGGTATTTTTAAACCCTAGCCATTAATATTTGATGTCAGGTTTATACTTTCATTTTCCCCTGCTTTTTACTCATTTTAATCTCCAGCAACCCCAACGGAGAACTTGCCTCTTTTCTTAGCACATTAACCTCTTTGTCTCTTACTGTTTTGTGAGATAACGATCTAGGTCATTGTAGCAGTGGCTGTCTGCAAAGCAAGGCATCATTCAGCAGTCACTTTCCCAGACTGATTATGTTTTCAATTACAACATGAGAACAAAGGATATGGGAAATAAAATTCACCTGAGCAGTTATCTGGGAAGTAAATAAAAATATAGATTGCCCTTCTGTAACTCACCTGCATGACAATTCCCATTGCTATAGTAGAATCCATATTGGCACTGGCAGGTATAATTGCTATATAAAGCAACACAACTAGCCAATTTTTTTCCACAAGGGTCTGGGTTGCAGAAGTCCGTTGCTACAAAGATGAAAAATATCAGGATTTCTATGAAATTGCAGTAGCTACTTCATATACAAAGTAGATCATACATGAAAGGGTTTATATCTACTTCTACTAAAGGAAACTACCAGGAATATTTTTATAGAGTATAGGTGCAATTAAAGAGCACATGGCTATGTTTTGCGTGCTTGGTGTCTGTATAGTAAGCATTTTCTACACACAACCCATCAGGATACCACCGTGAGGACATAGAGTAAGGCTGAAATTCATTATCTCTCATACTAAGCGTTCACCATTTAACTCTACTTAATACTACTAAGCCCCCCAAAAAGTATATCAAGGGTTGCCAAAATCAGTGATTAAGAGAAAAAGGCAGGCTACAATGGCGTGTGTCTTTAATTGTGCACTGGTATGCATTTGCCTTGTTAAAATAAAGTGTCATGGTAGTGTCCTTACCTTCAGACACATTAATAAAATGAAAGCTCCTAAGTTAATCATCATAGTATGCATACCTAAATAGATACCAGAGTATGCTGCTAAGACATTTGTTGCAGGGCTTATAACTGTCACCGTATAATTAATTATATTAACTGGCCACTACACCATACTTCTTCGGCAGTTAAACTTCACAGATTTGTGCTGATTGCTGCCTTTCACTTACTTGCTGGCGTTGTTGTTGAAGATGATGTTGGGTTCGCTCCTGGAAAAGGGAAAATAGTATGTCAGCCATGTTAGTGTCTTGTTACACTGAGGTCATTGAACACAGCATGGTATGATGCCTCCAAACCTTTCCTGGACCCGCTTCTACCTTGCCCTGCACTCTAGTCAGTGCCTTGCCCTCATTTCCTGCAACCTGTTGCTCAGTGTGATTTACCCTGCTTGTCTGCCTGTGATATCTTTTCCCTGGCAACCTCTCTCTCCACTTGATTTGCCCTCTCCCGGCAAATTTTCTTTGTCTGAAAGTTCTGCAGGCTCTGCATATCTCTCCTTCTCCCCCAGTGCCAAGTTAGTCATTGCTACCCAAGACTAGGGCAAGGTTCTTGTTTCCACCCTCACAGCATCTTAATTGTACCTGGAGTATCCTGTAGCTCATGCCTCTGTCCTGAGCCAACCTAGGTCCTCTTAAAGACTTATAAGATCAGTAACACTACAGGAAAAGGTCTAGTTAAACCTTCCTTGAAAATTAACCAGAGAGAGCCTAGCCTAGAAACATGCACAGCAATAAGAAACAGAAAACTCATAGAAATATGAGATAAGCAAATACACCAGAAGAGAGATTTAGCAAGCAAAAGGACATTGGAATAATGTCAAATATTTAAACTTATTTTTTATACAATAGTCTTTGCCTAAAATACAATCACACAATTTCTAAATAATTACATACTATATAAGGATTTTAAACTATGTATTTCAGCAGTATACATAATTTATTAGTTTAAAAATAATTGAAATTTATCCAAATCCTGAGAAAACTGAAGTGCTCCCTGGGACTAGGTCACTACAATCTGGCTTCAGAAGGGGCTGAAGGATCATTTTGGCTCCTTAACGTCACTTCCTCGGGTTATCAATGCCATTGTCTCAGCAATTCTATCGTTATTTCCGCATAAAAAGGAGATGGGAGCACTGGCTAGTGTTTTGTGACAGAAACATCAGGGGTAACTTTGCAGACAGCAGACAGGCACAATGGAGCAGGGGGGTGACAGCAGGAGGGACATGCTCATCTGAGCCTACCATAGAGGACAAGCTGAGGGCAGCTGTGAGAAGGCTTCCCCTCCTCACAGTGACCCAAAAGGAGGTATGATGCACCTACATAGGACATCCAGCGCAACACAGGCACAGGCAGCTTAGCCAGGTAACATCCCCTGACATGGCCGCTCACATTCAGCTTCATGCTGGTGTTTTCCTCCATTTCCATGCTCCAAAAAGCCCCAGGACAATTCCCTGCAAGGACCAGTCTCGGCCTTGCCCTGCACACCTCCTCTGCAGGAGCCTCTTGCACCTGGGACCGGTGCATGAAGCAAAGGCACAAGGCAGGAAAGGAGCAGCCACTTCAAATCTTCTGCAAGACTTTGACCTGACAGCAAAGGTCAGCGGGGAAAGAGGAACAGCTGGGGAGGATTTGCAGCATTGACCCAGGCACCTTTGTCTCCCCTGGGAGAATAACCTGGGCAAATCCAGTCAGGGGAAGGTGTCCCTGTCTGTGCGGACGGTATTGCTCCCTTGGACTGGGTAACTCCTATTGTGCCGTGGAAGGGGCTGACAGAAGGTTTTTGCTCCTTACCTTCACTTCCTTCTGTTGTCTGGCGTTGTCTCAGGAGCTGTATCATTGTTTCCTGATGAAGTGAAAAAGAGGTGGGAGCACTGATTAGTGTTTTGTGTTGGGAAACTGGGTCACAGGCAGGTGTGATGGGAAACCAAGTCCGCTGTGGAGCACAAGCTGAGGGCAGCCATGGAAGGGATTCCCCTCCTCACGGTGACCCAGCATGTATGACCTACCTGCATGGGGCATCCAGCACAACACTGGCACAGGCAGCTTAACCAGGTATGGAGCATCCCTCTCAGGGTATGCTCCATCATCCCCTGACATGCCCGTTCACACTCAGCTTCATGCTGGTGTTTTCCTCCATTTCCATGCTCCAAAAAGCCCCAGGACCAATTCTCTGCAAGGACCGGTCTCGGCCTTGCCCTGCACACCTCCTCTGCAGGAGCCTCTTGCACCTGAGACTGGTGCATGAAGCAAAGGCACAAGGCAGGAAAGGAGCAGCCACTTCAAATCTTCTGTTTGACCTGACAGCAAAGGTCAGCGGGGAAAGAGGAACAGCTGGGGAGGATTTGCAGCATTGGGCACCTTTGTCTCCCCTGGGAGAATAACCTGGGCAAACCCAGTCAGGGGAAGGTGTCTGTCTGTGCGGATCCCCTTTGGAGTGTTTCATGTGTTTTTTGCTCCTTACCTTCACTTCCTTCTGTTGTCGATGGCGTTGTCTCAGGAGCTGTATCATTGTTTCCCGATGAAGTGAAAAGGAGATGGGAGCACTGATCAGTGTTTTGTGTTGGAAACTCTGGGGTAACTGCGTGTGCAGCAGAAACTCTCAGCTGGGAAGTGGGGGACCTGACGGGGTTTAGCTACCAAAGTCCTGGGAACCCTTTCCCAGCCTTTTGGATCTTCCTGGCCATGATGCCTGTGTAGACTGATGTGCCTGCAGTCCTTTCTCCCTCAAATCGCAGTGTGAGCACGTCCCCACACAGGCACTGTATTGTGCCAGCTCAACTGCACTCGCTGGACACAGCTGCCTCATCCATTGGCACATGTGTGACTCCATGCAGGAAACCTATCTTCACCTGCCCAGGTTGAAGGCTGGAGCCAGGACCAAGTGCCAGAGCAGGCTGAGTGGTGCCATTAAGATGCGGATATCCAGCAGAGCCTCTGCTCCCATTGATGCTCTTCTCCCCAGGATCATTTGGGTGAAAAAAGAGGAAGCCGTTCTGTGCGAACGGCAGTCAGGCATAATGGGGAGCTGGGGTGCTAGCAGGAGGGATGTGGTAGTCCAAGCCCAATGTGGAGGACAGGCTGAGGGCAGCTGTGAGAAGGCTTCCCCTCCTCACAGTGAGCCAACAGCAGATATGACCCACCTGCAAGGGTCACTCGGAACCATGATGGCATAGGCAGCCTGGCCAGGTAGGGAGCATCCCTGGACACAAGTCCTCACACTCAGCCTCATGCTGGTGTTTTCCTCAGTTCCCACCATGCATATGTTCAAAAAAGCCCCAGGAGCAATTCCCTACAAGGACCGGTCTCGGCCTTGCCCTGCACACCTCCTCTGCAGGAGCCTCTTGCACTCGAGACCGGTGCATGAAGCAAAGGCACAAGGCAGGAAAGGAGCAGCCACTTCAAATCTTCTGCAAGACTTTGACCTGACAGCAAAGGTCAGCGGGGAAAGAGGAACAGCTGGGGAGGATTTGCAGCATTGACCCAGGCACCTTTGTCTCCCCTGGGAGAATAACCTGGGCAAACCCAGTCAGGGGAAGGTGTCCCTGTCTGTGCGGACGGTATTGCTCCCTTGGACTGGGTAACTCCTATTGTGCCGTGGAAGGGGCTGACAGAAGGTTTTTGCTCCTTACCTTCACTTCCTTCTGTTGTCGATGGCGTTGTCTCAGGAGCTGTATCATTGTTTCCTGATGAAGTGAAAAAGAGGTGGGAGCACTGATTAGTGTTTTGTGTTGGGCAACTCGGGTACCTCTGGGGTCAGCAGGCAGGTGTGATGGGAAACTAAGGTGCTAGCAGGAGGGATGCCCCTGTCCAAGTCCGCTGTGGAGCACAAGCTGAGGGCAGCCATGGAAGGGATTCCCCTCCTCACGGTGACCCAATAGCATGTATGACCTACCTGCATGGGGCATCCAGCACAACACTGGCACAGGCAGCTTAACCAGGTATGGAGCATCCCTCTCAGGGTATGCTCCATCATCCCCTGACATGCCCGTTCACACTCAGCTTCATGCTGGTGTTTTCCTCCATTTCCATGCTCCAAAAAGCCCCAGGACCAATTCCCTGCAAGGACCGGTCTCGGCCTTGCCCTGCACACCTCCTCTGCAGGAGCCTCTTGCACCTGAGACTGGTGCATGAAGCAAAGGCACAAGGCAGGAAAGGAGCAGCCACTTCAAATCTTCTGCAAGACTTTGACCTGACAGCAAAGGTCAGCGGGGAAAGAGGAACAGCTGGGGAGGATTTGCAGCATTGACCCAGGCACCTTTGTCTCCCCTGGGAGAATAACCTGGGCAAACCCAGTCAGGGGAAGGTGTCCCTGTCTGTGCGGATGGTATTGCCCCTTTGGAGTGGGTCACTCCAATCATGAGCTTGGAAGGGGCTGACAGAGGGTTTTTGCTCCTTACCTTCACTTCCTTCTGTTGTCGATGGCGTTGTCTCAGGAGCTGTATCATTGTTTCCTGATGAAGTGAAAAGGAGATGGGAGCACTGATCAGTGTTTTGTGTTGGAAACTCTGGGGTAACTGCGTGTGCAGCA